CCTCAGACTGCATGAGCATCATTTCCAAATTTCTTCTTTGTATCTTGAATTTTATTGAACTCCCCTCCCCCCCACCCCACTTCACTAAAAATAGCAAAAGTTCATTTTGAGCCTGATTCATTAGCTGTGGAAGTCAATGAGAGTCTTTCCACTTCCTTCAGTGGGCACAGATTCAGGATCTTTGAGTGCTGCATACATTCATAGTATTGCCTCAGATCCACTGATTGCAAAAGTGTCCCAAATTCTATTTAGGCTATCGTGATAACAGTGTGAAAGTGTAAAGAATTTTCTCTGTTGTATCAAGCACAACAACAATCTCTTGTAAAATGCGTTGAGAGAAAAACCTCATAAAGTCAGATTAACTCAGTTCAGACTAAAAATAACTCAATATTAGGATCAGGAAATGATGACTTGATCCTGATTCACACTGAGATTTTTGGAGGTACTCAAAGAAAAATGTAGGAACAATATTTCTAGGAGGTATATTTTCCTGTTTATTTTTCATAATTAATAACTGATCTGTGAATTTACAACATACCACTGGTAATTCCTACAGTGAAATAGCTTGTGGATTTTAAAGGTGTATTGGGAGTGTGCCCATAGGACTGCTTAAATACTGAAGTCGGTCCAACAGAACAAATCACATTGTCACTCGGCTGTTTCTTAAAATATTATTGCATGCTAATTGAATTCTTCAACTCAAAACAAATCATTTTGGAGGTCATGTTACTTTCATATTACATTTGACATAAAGAAGGTCCCTTCATTGAACAGGGAAATGCATGCTTTGGCAACAGAAATAGTAACATAATGAATGTCTACTCATTTACTTTACTACATTTTCTGTCCTGATCTAACTAGCACCTAGGCACTTGACATCCCTCATTTTGTTACAGAACAAGAACTCTATATGAAATAAAGCTTTTCCTTTACAAAACGTGATTTCCTTTCTCATTGGGTTCACTATATTAAATTAGCCCTGCCTGCATCCCAGAACCTCTCTAGGGTCAAAGAGATATCCAGTTTATTGCTAGATTTTTCACTGCACTTCCATCTACAGCTAGAAAAATTACATACAAATGAGGCAGCAAAAAGGTATTCAGTTTCATCTCTTTTCTCCCTCTCCTTCTTCACTAGATATGGGCTCAAGCTACATAATCAGATGTTGATCTTGAACACCCCAACAGATCAGGAAGTAAGAGTTCGGGATTTTAATTCAGTCTCTGAGAAAAGTAGGAACAAGTCATAAGAATCAGATCTAGGTCTCCATCTGGAAACATTAGGGACTGTTAGGATTCCAAGTTTTGGCTTTGACTCATCTCTTCTTTTTCTTCACTAAGACAGCTCTGTGAGCAAGATGACTTGGATTTGGAATATCTCCTCTGACAACCCTAACAGTTCCCATATTGCTTCTTAGCCACAGCCGCCTCTGTGTTACAAACCTGGCCAAAAAAGGATTTGTTAGTCAGGCAAAGGAGTCCTAGCTAATCACAGGTTTTCTGTTACACTGCAAGCCCATGCAGTTAAATTCAGTGCAAACTGCATGCCAAGTACCATGTGTTATTCCAGCATGTAACGATTAGAAAGTCATGTTTAATATCACCTGATTTTCAATTCAAGAGGTCCTTTTCTGTTAGTTTTACCCCTCCAGGTGCCCTTATATAGCAAAGACAGACCTTGTACTTTGGCCTGGATTGTGCTTTTTACAAAGTACAGCCCTACCGTTCTCCTTGTAGCCCATTCCCAAGATGACCTCTGGTGCTCTATAGTAACGTGTCACCACATAAGGAGTCATCATGAAACTGGTGCCTGCAGTTCTTGCCAATCCAAAGTCCAGAATCTTCAATGTGCAGTCAGACTTTACCACAATATTACTTGGTTTTAAATCCTGCAAAAGACATACATGAAATGAGACATATTCCATTTATGAAAACAATTTATAAAAGCAGTGATGACTTGGATAATTTTAGGAGGTTGTCCAAACACTTCTTTATTGCTCTGAAACACTAACTATTAACAGAAGGCACTTTTCAGCAATGGTGCTCAATACACTGTTGTTTTTGTGCCTGTACTGAAATGCATGTCATACTGGTACACAATTAGAGCCCAAGGGGACATTTGTTCTTTTATGATTCCTTTACATGGATGACAGAAATACTTGGGTATTAAATCATTAGATTTAAAATCTCACAGAATGAGAATAGAAATATTTTGTTTCCATGTGAATATCTGAAAGGGGCAGTGCCCACTTGGTCCCATCATTAGCCATGGATGTGGGGCCATTTCAATATTTTATTTGCAGAAAGAACCTGACCTACTTCTTTATCTTGAAAACTATTATACTGTGACACTCAAACATATTACATTTTCTATGGAAAGCACACGCTGGGGAAGGTCTTTGTATACTGTAACATCTAGTCCATCAGTCTGACTGGGTCCTTTTCATAAACCATAAAACTTGCTTGATATTTTTTAGGAGGAGTTCCCAGGCTATTTTCACACCATGGTGAACAACTTAAGAGAGATTGTCTCTTGGAAATTTTTCACTCATTCAGGTTCAGCCAGACCACTTCTCCTCCTGTCCACACTTGCATGGATCATTTACTGTACTGACATGGACCACCTCCCCTCTCATTCTTAATAAAATATTACCTATGTGGCAACCACAGTGATGGCTGATATGGAAAAATTATATTAGGGATACACAGAACATGAGTTTAGTTTGTTTTGAGGCATGAAGACAATGAAAACAGCCAATTCCATGTGACCAGCTGCTCCCCCTCGACCTCCACCAAGTGATCATTGGAATATAGTTTGAGCACCATTGATTTACAATATTTTAATATACTAAGGTTTGTTTCCACTTAAACTGTCCCAACTGTCACAGACAGCTGGAGTTTCAGGAGAAACAACAGTCATCTCCACCTATTCCAAAGATAATCTTTACTGATATTGTTTATACTGCTTATAACCCATTACTTTCTGTTTGATGATTAAGTTGACCCTAGCTTCCAATCACACAGTTAACTTCCCAAACATAGGCTATTAACCAGGAAGTCTCAATGTTTAAACTGAGAAGCTTGGGTCTCGATAAAAGGATTGAGCTACAACTGAAATTAAATATAAATGATTTGACCATTTTTCATGGTGATACAAATCAAGACAATAATGAACAACCATCTTGCCCTTCAAAGAGAACTCCCCCCTACCCTGTGTATGATTCCTGCAGAGTGAAGGTGCTTGATGCCACACAGCATTTGGTAGAGCAGGTAAGACATTCGCTCATGGTCTAGTTCCATCTGAATCACCTGGCACAAATTGGCATCCATCAACTCCATTACTAGGTAACTAGAGAGGAGAATAAAGTCATATAGTTACTTCCTGGGCAAAAAAAAAACCCCTTCAGCTTCTTATCTGTAATAACCAATGCTTACTTTTCTTTCTTCATGTTGGGTTTCTTTTTTTACTTCCATTGGCAACACTGAGGGAAAGAAGATTCTGAACTGGCCATGCTGCTGAGCTCAAAGAATAGTTAATCCATTCTATGGTTTGGTTCTTACTATACTTGCTATGCAGCCATCATTCTACTGATGTTCCATTAAAATCAATGGATTATTAGAGCTCACCATTTTCTACATCACCACAACTGGATTCTGTATAGGCACACAGAACATTCAGCATGCTATTTTCAAACACATTGACACCAACATAAAAAGGTTGTATGTACCAGCCAAGTCTTTCATCAGTCTTTGGTCACCATCCATGAGAAACAGTAACACAGCACATTCAGAATATTGGTCTCAAAGTTCACAGAAGGATGGAAAAAGAAGGAAGGAGGTAAAAATGTATGACCATGATACGCATCTTTGGCATGTTTGACTGGGTACTCCGGTATGGTCTGATCGCATTGGATGAGGTAGCCTGTTTCCTATGAAAGTTTATGCCTCTCTGAATCGAAGGTGCCACCCAGTCCTACTTTCTGCTGTTCTAATGCCAACTAACTAATCTAACGTTACCCTTTCCCTTTGCTTAATAAGCCTGAGTGATAGCCTTAACAGAATATGAACTCAGTCCTCCAGAAGAGGTAATCTGTGTTGATTTTACCTACCACCTCAGTTTTCATGGGATTATTCCTATCAAAAAGGTAACTGGACCATGACTGGAACACCAAATTAGAGCTCCCTCTGGCTTTGAGAAAAACTCTAGATCCATGTTGATATCTTGGCTTCACAGTTCAGGCTCATCATCAATCACATGATTATCTCACCAAATCTGTGCAGAACTGCAAGGATCACAAGATAAAGATAATGAAGCACCACCTCTATGTGAAGAGACTTGGTAGCACTAGGCTGGCTCCAGACAATACTATATGCCCCTTCCTTTTGTGGGCATGGACTTTACAGTGTAAAACAAAGTGGAATGACTGAAGGACAGAAGGAGTTCAGCTGATATAAAACAGTACTTCTGACTATCTGCAATTTCATTCAGGACAGGACTAAGCACAATAGTACCCATGCAAGAGGCAATGTTCAGTGGAGATGCTAGTAATTCTCTGTACCCTGCACTGTTTCCCAAGGCAGATTATTTTACACAGTCAAAGGCTATTACAAAATAAATATGAAAGGGGGACATGTTTCACATGAGTCCCTCTTTTACAAGGAAATTCTTTCAGAGTGAATTACTGCATTTCTAAACCTCACATACCTCAGGGAATTATATAACAATAATTCCTTAAGCAAACCAATAACACAAAGGCAAGAAGCATAGTTACTTTTAGCTGCTCATATTCGCATATGTGTGTGGGCACACACATATCATAGTCTCAAGAACTATAAGCAGCATGCTTTTTATTGTACTTAGATACCACTGTGATCAGTATCTTATATTTAAAATAGACAGACAGTCTTCATTCACAGGTTCATTCTTCATCTCCACAAGATGACTTGTTAAAGGAAGTCATCCTTTCTATTGTTCTGGGATTATTGTATTCATTGTGCAATATGAGGCTCCACCTCCCTCTAAAGGTTATATTTAATCACTACTTACACATCCTGGAACTCTTCCAGAGATTTCTGTGGTGTGAAGACATTTAATAAACTGATAATCTGAAAAGCAGAGCAAAGCAAGGAAGGAAAAAGGAAGATAAACATAAGTATTCTGAAGGATCCCTATATTACAGAATAAATTACCTTCTTCATTGTTCAGTTCATACAGAGACAAGTCCTGCTGTAGTTCCTAGTAAGCAACAGGTAAATTTCAGAACAGAACATGTCAGAGCTCCATTCATTTCCAGAGTGCCTTTGAAATGGATTGTGAGAGAAGGGTTGGTGCTTGCCAATGACTAGCAAGTTTGCTGAGGGAATTTGTCTTTGGAATTTTGGAGCTGCAGGTTTAAATTTCAACCCCTGTTCAAAGGTTGTTGCTTGTAGCTGCAACGGTCTAAGGACATAGTCAGACAAGTTTCTTTGGGTAGATGTGATATCTTTATTAGACCAACTGAATAGTTGAGAAAATGGTTCTTTGCAAGCTTTGGGTCACAAAGCTTTTGTGTGTTTGTGCCCGAAAGCTTGCAAAGAACCATTTTTCTAACTATTAAGTTGGTCTAATAAAAAATATCACATCTACCCAAAGCACCTTATCAACTTCTGTTCAAATGATCCTAACAGTCCCAGTCAGGCAACTAGGTATTTCTGATACATATTGAAGACCTCTCTGAAAGCTGAAATAATAAAGGACCACTGTATTAAAAAACTCAAGGATTTTTCACTTTTTTTAACATTTCTTCAGTTCTTCTGCAAACATGTGCACATTCACACTCACACACACAATTCCAGGCCTGAGGTGTCCTGCTTTAGTAGCTGGATGTTAATGTTGAAGAACCACAGAAAATTCTGAAAAGTGGCCAGAAGCACAATGCACACTAGGAATCCTGTCTGGTGGGCCAAAACCAGTGTGGAAAGCTTCCTGAAAGAAGGAATGTGTGTGTTTTGGAATACAAAGGACCTTTCTGCTCTCTGGGCATGGAAACACATACAACACTTAGAATGGTTTAAATGTGATTCAAGCTTGAAGTGGACAGACATATAGGCCTGTTAATTGTTTAAAGCTGCCTGGATTGGTTCAAAAGTGTACCTGGAAAATCAAGTACTGTTTTTTTTAACCAGTTCACTGGGAACTGGTTTAATGTTATGTATGGATGCCAATTGTTCTGTGACACTGATCTGGTGAGTCCTCCAGGAATCCCCATTCAGCAACACACCTTGCTGCCACCCCTACTGCTGCAGTGGGCCACTCTGGTGCACAGACAAAACTCTGCTGCCCCCTTTTTTCCCCCCCTTTTGGTTGGCACTTTTTATTAACATGCTTCCTTCTACTTCTTTTTCAATAAAAGCTAACTTTATAACAAACAGCTCACAACTGCAGCCCCTCAGCATGTCTTCCTCACCCTGACCCTGTCAGACCCTGGGAACTACGTCAAGGGCAGATCCAGATGGGTGTGGCAGTGAAGATGTACCTCCTTCCATCACTGTCCCCAGCTGATCCAGGCATGGGGGACCCCCAGGTAACACAGGCAAATCAGGCTGCAGCTGTACAGGGTGCCAGGCCTAGCAGGGGACAACAGTGGTAGCAAAACACCCAGTTTTTCTTTTTTTTTTCTTTTAAAATGTTTTCCCTCCCCTTCCCCAACCATTTCTGACTTTTTCTCTCCCTCTCTATTCCCCATATATAAGTGAGCTAAGACATAGGATAAGCTTCAGCATTTTATTTTGGTAGCAAGTTGTATTTGTTTTGTTTTTTCTCCTTCTTTATATTGTATAATTATTATGTTTATATTGATTTTTACTGTTCTATATTACTGTTTTACTGATACTATATGATTTAGGCCTACATACGTAAGTTAGCATAAGTCACGTCAAGTTTCCATTTTGTTTGTCAAGTCTCCATC